AAAAGGGGGTGTTCTAAAAGAAAGATTCAGAGTGTAGTGAATTAAGTGTAGTGAATTAAGTAGTAACAGCCACTTATTGTCACAATGAAGTATTATGCACTGCACTTGACTGTGTGTGCTACACTTTTACACAACGAACAGTTCAATAAGTTATTCACAGCAACATCACAACAGGTATGTGAATGATCCTCTGTGCCGTGATGTGATGGCAGCTATGTTGTTACAAGGTGATAGGAATTCTCTTGATTTTCTGTGACAATCTTCACATATATGCAATTGCTAAGTGGCATATGAAGTCTGCATAGGCAGGACTTACAAATTAGTCTGGCTGATGAGCTCACACTTTCCCTTTTTGTCATTTTTAATAAATCAAGGATGTTTTAAATGCCAAGTTTCTGAATCTATATCATCTTTATTGGAAAAGCATAGTTACAGAGACAATGAGAGACTGAGCGGAGTTCTTCCATTTGCTGGTTCACTCCCCAAATGGCCACAATGGCCAGAGCTGAGCCAGTCCAAGCCAGGAGCTCTTTCCAGGCCTCCCATGTGAATGCAGGGTACCAAACACTTGTGGCATCCTCTTCTGCTTTCCCAGGTTATAACCAGGGAGTTGGATTGGAAGTGGAGCAGCTGGAACTTGAATTGGCACTCTTATGCAATGCCAGTGCTTCAGGTGGAGGTTTAGCCTACCCTGCCATGGTGCCAGACCCATGATCTCATTCTTTTAAGTACTATTAAATACTACAATTGTTACAGTTAGGAAAAAATGCAAGTAGATATTTGGAAAGTTTGCACCTGCAGCTCACCTTAAGTGAGTAATTGAATATTTCACTTTTAGCCATGTGTCTAGCTTCTTATTGGCCAAACTGGACTGTGTTCTCTGCAAAAGGATATGCTCTGTCTTAAAGCCTGGCCTCCGTGCTCTTAGTTTCCTCTAAAACTGTTTCATATTTGCATTCTGATGAGGGAATAAAGTCTCTAAACTTAAACAAGCCACCATTTTAAGTTTTAATTATCCTTGAAGAACATGGCATGTAAGTCAGCCTCTTGAAGTACTACTTTGCACTAAGTTATAGTGAAGGACAGCTTGCCTTTTACAGACATCCTTACTGATGTTGATGGGGACCAGTCTCAGGCATTAAACAGAAATGACCCAATTAGCTCTATTTGCTGTGCAGTGTGGACACGTTGCCTTCTCATTGGTAGCTGGTAAAGTGGAGGAAGCAATGATTCTGAATTTCTCAGGTAGAGATACCCTTCCTCTTTCTTTGTTACACTTCTATTCCCCTCATTCACATTATACAAGGAATATATCTGCAAGACCTGGAACTATAGAGTTAAGGATAGAAGTATTAGGAAATCAATTATCATCTGAACAGAGGACAGTCCTTTTCCAATAGGTCAGTTGATCTCCTCTGGGCTTGTTTTAGTTGAACAAACATTTAGCAGATGTGAGCTGTACATCTAAGACTAGGTAATGGCCAAGTAGTTAGACCTAAGCACTTTCAAGGCAAATTTGCATGAACTTTATGCATTCTGTGTTGAAAAGAATTCCATGTACATCAGAGGTTATTGTACTTAAATTCATATTTAGCAAACATGTTTTAATTAAATTCGTATTTAACCAGTATGTCTGACACATGCAAGAAAGAACAAATGAATAATTTCGGCTCCCTTCCAAACTCTCAAAGCAGTGTTGATCTCTCTAAGGGTTTTTCCAAGATTTTCCATACCTCAGTATAAACTCTTCTGTCAAATGAGCCCTAGGAAAAGCCTCATACTTCTAGAGCTGGACCTATCCTTAAGAAATTATGCAGTTCATGGGCCGGCATGGTGGTACAGCACACTAATCATTTATTCTGTGGTGCAAGTATTCCATTTGGGTGACAGTTTGTGTCATGACTACTTTACTTCCCATCCAACTCCCTGCTTATAGCCTGGGAGAACAGCAGGGGATGGCTCAAGTCCTTGGGCCCCTGCACTCAAGTGGGAGATTGGAAGGAGTCTCCTGGTTCTGGGCTTCAGATAAGCTCAGTTCTGGCCATTGCAACCATTTGGGGAATGAATCAGTGGATGAAAGGCCTTCTCTCTCTAGCTCTTCTTCTGTCTTTGTAAAAGCTGACTTTCAAATTAAAAATAGGTAAATCATTAAAAAATAATGTAGTTCAACCTTTACCCTACAGTATAAACAACAGTACATGTGATCCAGTATAGAAGCAGACACATATGCAAACAATTTCTGTATGATGTAGCCAATGCTAAAATTGAAATTTATGAGCAATATTTAAGCATCACAGTAATAACACAGCCTAATTATATAGAAGTACTGAAGGATCAGGAGCATTGCCCAAAGTTTGTGACACTTGACATTTAATATTTGAAGGATGAAATGGTGTTGATTCAGCGAAAACAAGACAGAAGTCCATGCAGGAATAATGTGTGCCAACTCCTGGAATCACAGAGAGTGTAAGACTTCTATTCTCTTCCTAGCTTGGGATCCTTGTGGTAAAGGTTGATTAAATGCTGAAAGAGCATGGACTTCTTTCCATTATAGCAAGGTCATTCTGATAGGGGAGAAGCTACAAAACACTTCACTTCACTTAAAGCTACATCACTTTATCCCAGCCCCTTGCTTGCCTTTATGGTTGCATTAGCACAGTAGACTAAAAAGCACAATGGCCACAGCATTTGTCCTTAGCCTCCTAAGGATTTCCATTCTGAAACTAGGAACACACTAAGTTCCTGAAAAGCGCTATGCTCAGTGAATGTTGAGTTTCTCCTGTCTTGGCTGATAGTAAGAAGTGTTAAATCTCAACTGAACTTGAACTGAATCACGCAACACAGTGGAGGAATCTACCATGGGGGGGGGGGAGGGTTTTGGGAAGGGTGGTGGGAATCCCAGTACATATAAAACTGTGTCATATAATAAAAAAATAAATTAAAAAAAACATCAAGTAACATCTGGAAAAAAAAGAAAAAAAGTGTTAAACATTATGTTATACATATGTGTTTTGCTGTTGTTGCAGTTTGCCATTTAAGGTGCTGTCTTAGAAATAAATAACAGGTAACAAAATCTTCATCTTCATAAGGCTTATGACTTGGCTGAGAGAGAGAGAGAAAAACAAAAAACTTCCCAAGTGTCTCGAAGCATTTCCATGATGGTATAGAAAAGTGGAATGTTTAACATTTCTACTTTGTGTGCTATTCACAGTGGTTTGCTGAATTTTAATGACTTTGCATTGAATAACTTATTGGCATAAATCTGACTTCAAAACGTATACCTCTCCTTAATTTAGTTTCCTGAGAGACAGTGGATATCACCAAAGTTATACACACCCTTCTAAAACAGTCTATACTATAGAATACTATACTAATTAAGTATATATTTTTTTCTTTTTTCTTCTTTTACACAAATGTTGTCAAAATATACACACTACACTACATCTTGCATTTTGAACTAAAACTATGTTATGGATATGTTCTATATTAGTACATACAAGTGACAGTCATTTTATTGTCATTATTCGTTGATAGCAATATTGTAGTTTGTTGTGTGAATGTGCTTTAATTTCTTGAATAAGTTGTGCTGATTTTAATCTCCCATGCACAAAGCTAATTCTGAAATTAAAAACTTAAACTAATTTTAATCCAAGGACCCTTTTTAAAATCTCATACATCTTAGCCACATCTGCAAAATGAGGATAATAGGAGTAGCTGTCTTATAGTACGATGAGGGTTTAACACAACATTCAATGCCAAGAATTATCATATTGACTATGCTTAAAAGATGTTAAGCAGATAGAAGCTTAACACACTTTGGGTTCATTAATGTTGCAAAAGTTAGAACAAAGGAAAACTCACCAATTTCACAGTAACTGCTTTTTTTTTTTTTTAAAGATTTATTTTTATTATTTTTTCATTGGAAAGGCAGATATACAGAGAGGAGAGACAGAGAGGAAGATCTTCCGTCCGATGATTCACTCCCCAAGTGAGCGCAACGGGCCGATACTATGCCGATCCGAAGCCAGGAGCCTCTTCCGGGTCTCCCACGCGGGTGCAGGTTCCCAAAGCTTTGGGCCGTCCTCTGCTGCTTTCCCAGGCCACAGGCAGGGAGCTGGAAGGGAAGCGGGGCTGCCGGGATTAGAACCGGCGCCCATATGGGATCCCGGGCGGCAAGGTGAGGACCTTTAACCACTTGCGCCACCGCGCCGGGCCCAGTAACTGCTTTTTTAAAAGAGAGACAGAGAGATTTCCATCTATCGGCTCACACTGCAATGGGTGCAGCTGCCAGGAACCTGGAGATTCTTCTGCATCTTCCACAAGGTTGCAGGGTCCCAAAGCCTTGGGCCATTCACTACTGCTTTTCCAGGCCATAAACACAGAGTTGGATTGAAAGTGGAGTAATGTGTCCATAGGGGATGCCAGCAACACAGTTAGAGGCTTAACCTACTATGCCATAGCACCAGCCCCACCATAGTTATTCTTAACAGTGTAGAAATATTTCCAACTAGTTTCAGATTTCAAGAAGTGCGAAAAGCCATTACAACACTCCAGCTTTTTAAAAATATTGTTATTATTTTCCATGATACAATTTTTGTAAGTATGGGAATTCCCCCCTCCACCTCCTCTTCTTCCCTCCCTACTTCCCTCACATACCATTCTCCCCCATATTATTACAGTAGTATAATCTTTCCATAGCAGTTACAAGTTTAACATTATGCTATTTAAGTGCTTCATGACATTGTAGGTATAGGCAATGGTAGAAAATCAAATATCCTATTGTCAAGGTATATTTAACAGTTTCATTGGAGTCCACCTTTTATTCAGGAGTAGAGATGCGTACTGCAGCATATTTTCACTTCCTGGTATGCTGGTCTCCATTATATAGTTCATTTATCATTTACCTAAATATCTACTTGTTTCATATTTTTCATGAATGTTCACTTATATCAGAGAGAATATACGACGTTCCAACTTCATTTTGTCAAAATCTAAGTCAATCATTTTAACCATTTTCTCAGAGCCGCCTTCACATCCTTGTTCCTTAGGGTGTAAATGACAGGGTTGAGGGCAGGAGTAAGCACTGTGTACAGAAGGGAGAGCAACCTGAGAATGTCATCATACCTAGGCCCTGATGGGAAACCATAGACAATCCCTAGTGTCCCATAGTAGAGACTGACCACTGTCAAGTGAGAAGAACAGGTAGAGAAGGCCCGCTGCTTGCCACTGGCAGAAGGAATCCGTAGGATGGTAGAGATGATTTGAATGTAAGAAGCCAGGGTCAGCAAGAAGGGTCCAAGGGCAAATAAAGTGGTACATATAAAAGAGGCCTTCTCAGCTAGCCAAGGGTCAGCACAGGCCAGTTTCATAATAGGCTTCAGATCACAGAAAAAGTGGTTGATCTCATTGGCAGAACAGAATGGTAAACGAAAAATAAGAACCATGAGAATAGTGGGGGCAAGAAATCCAGCCAACCAAGATGTACCAGCTAGTCGTAAGCAGCTCCAGTAGTCCATGATGCTGGAGTAGTGCAGTGGGTTGCAGATGGCTATGTAGCGATCATAAGACATTACAGCCAGGAAGAAGCATTCTGTAGCCACCAGGGCAGCAAAACAATAAAATTGGCAAACACAGGCTGGGAAGGAAATAGGTACAGGGGCTGATAGCAATGTCTTCAGCATTAGGGGCTCAATGGTTGTGGTGTAGCCAATTTCTAGGAAGGAAAAGTGACCAAGAAAGTAATACATGGGCATGTGAAGGGACTGATCAGCTGATACTACAATTAGGATCACAATGTTACCCATTAGAGTCATCACGTAGGTGGTCAGAAATATCCCAAAAAGGAAAAACTGAAGGCCGTGAAGATCTCCAAAACCCAAAAGGATAATTTCTGAAATGTGAGTCATATTTACAGCTTCAATGCTAGCCATGCTTTGCATCTAAAAGTAAGTAAATCAAAATTTTGAAGTTATTGATCAAATATGATGTTTAGAAAAAAAGAGCTGCTTAGAGCTGTCATGCATATTGAGTATAATTGACTTCTTCCTGAAAGTTCACAGTTCTTGAATTTTATTAATAAATTTAAGTACAGTCTCCCAAAGGTCATTTGGAAAGTTGATCTGTAATTATAATAATCTCTTAACATTTGCAATGTACAGCATCTGAAAATGGTGACTCAGGTACATAATTTATGCATTTTTTACAATGTTTATTTCAAAAAATATGAGGTCACTATACTTTGATGATCTTACTTTGATTATTACTACTGTTGCCAGTGGCTTATCATTAGCAATGAATATTTCAAATTCATCTGTACGTTGCATAATATCTATGATTAAATCTGTTCTCTCTTTTAGACTTTTCATATTAGTTTAATTATACATATTGCTTTTCATTATTATAAAGGCATCTAATATTTAAAACTTATCTGAGAATAAGTTCTCCAAACATTAGTAGATGAGATATAGTTAATTAAGCTAGGGAACTAGCAAGTCACATATGCTTTGCTGACAGCATCTTTTCTCATCTTTAAAATAGTATATTAATTTATGTTACATGTTTATATATAATTTATGTAACAAACAGGTAATAGTAGTAAAGGCTCATCGTTGGTGGGTATTAGGCATTTGTTCAACCATTCAGTACATATTTATTTGTCCTAGCTGTCTAGAAAATAAAAATCAGGAAAACATTTTTTCATTTATTTTTTTAAAGAACTTATTTATTTATTATTTACCATAATGCAGTTTTGTAGGTATAGGAGTTTTTCCCTCCCTGTCTCCTTCCTCCCTGTCATTCCCTACCTCCTCCCTGCTATTAATCCCTGAATTTTAAAATCTTCTGAAATTAACATTCTCAAGTGAGAAAAAAAAAAGTGAAGTAGAGACTGAAGAAGGACATTTGAGTTGTTCACTATGAAATTAAAAAATAAGGACACAGGTTTGAAAATAATAATTATAAAAAAAAGGTATTGTGTGTTGTGGTTGGGGGATGTTGTGTGGCCAAACTAGAAAGCTTTAAAAAATTGAGACCTAAAAAATTAAATGGGAAAGAGGGAGCAATGCAAAAGTTGGAAGTGGAATGAGGCAGAGCATATTAGGTAGAGGAAACAAATCTTAAGCAAGGAAAAACAAACTTAAAAAAAAAGAAAAACTAGTATGAGGGTGGGAGGGAGAATGAGGATAAATGGATAAAATAGAAAAGGCTAGATCATTAGTCCTGTAAGCCATGCTATGGAATCTGCGTGTTTAAACAGTGTAGGAATCCACTGGAGGCTGTTACGCAGCATGTGATGTAATTTGAAGCTTAAAATCACTTTTGCTGCTATGTAAAAAGTGAACTACAGGGAGAACATTAGGAACAGAGTGAGATACTTAAGAGATTGTTAAATAGCACCAGATGAGAGATAATAGTATACCTGAATGTGGTGTTTACAGAAATGGTGGGAAGAGGGCAGGAACATTGTGCATTTAGAAGGCAGAAATGTCACGACTTACTGACTGATGTGTGGAAGGATGAAAAGTGAAAGATCAGAGATGACTCATGGGTTTCTGGTTTGAGTAACTGGTGTCATTTACTTAGTAAAGAATATGTGGAGGGGAAGTTTAGAAGAAATATAAGTTCAATTTGTGTTAGTTGGAGATGTCTTTGAGAACTCTGAGTGAAAAAGAGGAGCCGAGTCCTAACAGGGAGACAGTGTAGCTCAGAATAAAATACTGGCTTTGAATATAAATTTGGAAGTTATCCAAATGTGTGTAGCATTCAAATACGACCCACAGAACGACATCCTACATTTTAATTTTGAGACTCTTTCCATTAGGTCTGATAGAAAAGGATCCAGAGAAAAAAACTCATTCAGGTAGGATGAATACCAGGGGGCAACAGAATAACACCACTCACATTTCAAGAGAAATATCAGTTGTTTTAGAACATATTGTGAGATGAAGACAACGACTGAAAATACTCTTCTAATTGGTTATATAGATAACATAATCAGTGAGATGATAAAGACAGAAGGGAAGCAAAGAAATGTGGCAGCAACCAAAGCAAGGTGAGCATCAACTCAACATTTTGTGCACTGATGAGTATGATCTAGAGAAAGCAGATGTAGTTGGAGCTGAGTTGCTGCATTTAATATTAGGAGGAAGAACTAATTTGCTTCTGTAAATTCTGGTTTCTCATTGAAATATTAGAACAGGTCATTATGTAGGAGTGAGAATAGAAGAGAGCACTTGGGAGATTTGAAAGCAGAAGAAAACCGATAAACCAGTTATATGTGCAAGTGAGGAGGCTGTACTACTAGAAAAATACTATTACTTTGCAGGCAGCATTGGCCAACAATTTAATCATTGAGGAGATGAATTTAAGAAAGTGATACCAGACTGCTTTCTTAAACGATCTTCTTTAAAAATGTGCCAGGAAACAGTAGGCAGCTAGTTGGTTTAAACCAGATTTGGGATTTGATATGTTGAAACAATGGAAAAAATTACGAGCAAGAGAACGATGAGGGTAGCAATGAAAAGTCAAGATGAAGGACTGGATGATAAATGTCAGGTCACATCTACTTTTTCCCACTCATTGTGAAGTCATAGCATAGTGAAGCTGGAAAGAACATTCAAAATATTACTTGATCAATCTTTTCATTTTGTAACAAAGTAGTGTGGACAGATAATGTCCTTAGGATCAGAGACTCAGTAAATAACATATGAATTCCCAGCTAGGTCTCATTTTCCAATGTCTGATCATTTCACTACAGCGCACTTAGATTTTGTGGCTCTTTTAATCTTCTTTCGCTGCTCTGAACCCGAGCATTAATGTATTACAGGTGAATTCATGGAGGAAGACTTATCTTCATTTAGAAATATACGTGTCTGGAGTTTAATACTTTTTGAAGAGCCTTCAGATCTCTTATTATTTTTTTTTATCTTCCCAATTTTCTTGTGAGGCATTAGAGGGTAAGTCCTTGATTTCTGTCACTGTATTTACAGGTGAAAAAACTGATCATGATTCCATCACCCTCACCCCACTGTACTTGCATTTTGGTTATAATTTTTTTTTGACATATAAAGCTAATTTTATGCATGCTGATGTAAATGTGAATTTACAAGACACAAATTACATTATGAGGCAAGAGTTTTTGTCAGGTAACTGGATAATAGGAGCCATATGGCGAGTGCCGTCATCTGAGCTGAACAACAAATGCAAGAAATTGAGATAGATTTCCATGATGGAGATACAATAAAAAGATGCTTTTTTAGTAAAAAGCAGTTCAGAGGGCAGAGTGAAGTCAATTATTTCAGATCATGGTGCATGTTAACCAAAGAAATCACTTTCCTAAGGGAAGACAGGAAGCCATTCCATGCAGAAGGAATCAACACAAAAAGGTGCAGTAACTCAAGGATCAAATTGGCCATAGCTTTGGGAGAGACTGAGTGAAGCGAGTAGGGCTTAATGACAGAAAAGGCAGGAGTATACACGGTTTTGGAGGAATACCAGGAAAGAGTTTTACAGATGGATCACAGGAATGGGAGGAAGAAAACAAAAACAAAAACATCGCTGTAGAAGCCAAGCGAGAAGTGGAATCATCAGAATTACTGCTAGAGAAGATGCTGTCAATATTGGCATACTGGGAAATAGCACTGATGAGTGAAGTGACAAGGAGAAACAACAAATTTGAGCTATATTTACAAGAGCATTGTTGATGGATTGAAGGAGAGAGGTAGGGAAAGAACAAGAGAATCAGAGAGAGAGTGCAAATAAAAGAGGTAGAAACTAAGACAGAAAGAAGGCATATTTATTCTTCTTGTTCGTTTTAGCAAATGATAAGCTCAAGCAAGAGTCTAGGCAGAACCTAAGTCCAGAAGGAAGAAACTATGGAAGACAAGTGAGGAGGTGGGTGATGGAACCAAGAGGGTCCGAGGGTAGAGAAATATAGTAGCGGAGACTTTATCTTCAGGCACAAATGAAACGTCTTCCGTTACCACAGGTAAAGGTGGGTATAAACAGTGATTATGGAGATAATTACCTCATCTTTTTCTTCCCACTTGATTTTGGAGTCTTAAGTCATTTCTAGATGACTATGATGAATCCATGGTAGAGATGTTCATTTGCTTCCTCAGAGCCTCTCTTCTTATCCATCAACCTAGGTGGAGCCCAAAATACCTAGTGCAGACCAAAGTGGGTTGCTAACCCAGATAGGAGATTTGCTGTACCACTACTCGGTATGACTAGCAGCACATCCAGCAACGGTGTGACAGACATGTTATTATATATCCTTTTTGAAAGATCCAGAAGGACTTTAAAAGCCACGGCTTTCCAACCTTTTCTTTTATACTTGCACAGCTATACTTTTCTAGCTTCCTTGGAGGGCTTCTAAAAGGAGGAACAAATTGTATGTCACCTAAGGGCACTTTTGTTTTCAGGTGGTTGTGGCCAAAGCATTTTTGGCTCTGGCCGTGACCTCCTTGGCTTCAGAAAGAGCCTAACGCTGGCACATGCATCAGTCTTTTAAACACTCCAGCCACCTTCTGCAAGCAGGGACTAGTAGATACAGTTGAAACAAGAAAACCAATTATGTTCGAATTTCACTCCTAGGGGAGATTTGCTTTTTAATTGAGAGATCGATGTTGAATTCTCATGACATCCTGAACTTTCATTCAATGACTGCTGACTAATGGTGTGAAATTGGATATTGGACTATCTGACCTGTCACACAGGTCAGAGTCATGGTCCAGATAGGTCAGTCTGCAGAAGCTGCTGACAGTACCAAGTGATAGTTTGGGAAGGGTACAATGTGAAAAATACTAAATTATTGACAGAAAATCTAGGATCTAGACCAGGCATTCCCATGCCTGTGCAATTTGGTGTAATTTATCTTAACTTTTTTCTAGTTTCTCACCCCCCCACC